TGGACAAGGTAATTGTGACGTCAAATATTTAGGTCATGTGGTGGGACAAAACATATCATGAAACAACACTGGTTGAGGAAAATGTGCGTGTTCGATTACTAGTATGGTGATACAGCCCCCAGTAAGAAGAGAGGAGGGTGATACAGCCCCCAGTAAGAAGAGGGGAGGGTGATACAGCCCCAGTAAGAAGAGAGGAGGGTGATACAGCCCCCAGTAAGAAGAGAGGAGGGTGATACAGCCCCCAGTAAGAAGAGAGGAGGGTGATACAGCCCCCAGTAAGAAGAGGGGAGGGTGATACAGCCCCCAGTAAGAAGAGAGGAGGGTGATACAGCCCCCAGTAAGAAGAGAGGAGGGTGATACAGCCCCCAGTAAGAAGAGGGGAGGGTGATACAGCCCCCAGTAAGAAGAGGGGAGGGTGATACAGCCCCCAGTAAGAAGAGAGGAGGGTGATACAGCCCCCAGTAAGAAGAGGGGAGGTGATACAGCCCCCAGTAAGAAGAGGGGAGGATGATACAGCCCCCAGTAAGAAGAGGGGAGGGTGATACAGCCCCCAGTAAGAGAGAGGAGGGTGATACAGCCCCCAGTAAGAAGAGGGGAGGGTGATACAGCCCCCAGTAAGAAGAGGGGAGGGTGATACAGCCCCCAGTAAGAAGAGGGGAGGGTGATACAGCCCCCAGTAAGAAGAGGGGAGGGTGATACAGCCCCCAGTAAGAAGAGAGGAGGGTGATACAGCCCCCAGTATGAAGAGAGGAGGGTGATACAGCCCCCAGTAAGAAGAGAGGAGGTGATACAGCCCCCAGTATGAAGAGAGGAGGGTGATACAGCCCCCAGTAAGAAGAGAGGAGGGTGATACAGCCCCCAGTAAGAAGAGAGGAGGATGATACAGCCCCCAGTAAGAAGAGAGGAGGGTGATACAGCCCCCAGTATGAAGAGAGGAGGATGATACAGCCCCCAGTAAGAAGAGAGGAGGGTGATACACCCCCCAGTAAGAAGAGGGGAGGGTGATACAGCCCCCAGTATGAAGAGGGGAGGGTGATACAGCCCCCAGTAAGAAGAGGGGAGGGTGATACAGCCCCCACTATGAAGAGGGGCTGGTGTTACAGCCCCCAGTATGAAGAGGGGCTGGTGTTACAGCCCCCAGTATGAAGAGGGAGGGTGATACAGCCCCAGTATGAAGAGGGGCTGGTGTTACAGCCCCTAGTATGAAGAGGGGCTGGTGTTACAGCCCCCAGTATGAAGAGGGCTGGTGTTACAGCCCCAGTATGAAGAGGGGCTGGTGTTACAGCCCCCAGTATGAAGAGGGGCTGGTGTTACAGCCCCAGTATGAAGAGGGGCTGGTGTTACAGCCCCAGTATGAAGAGGGGCTGGTGTTACAGCCCCCAGTATGAAGAGGGGCTGGTGTTACAGCCCCCAGTATGAAGAGGGGCTGGTGTTACAGCCCCCAGTATGAAGAGGGGCTGGTGTTACAGCCCCCAGTATGAAGAGGGGCTGGTGTTACAGCCCCCAGTATGAAGAGGGGCTGGTGTTACAGCCCCCAGTATGAAGAGAGGCTGGTGTTACAGCCCCCAGTATGAAGAGGGAAGGGAGGCTGTGTGCTGGCTGGTGCAGGATAAGGTGTATCGTCTGAAGTGGTGCTTCACGGTTTTAATATGAGGGTCCTACTGCATTGAACATAATCCTGGGCAAAGACCTGTGTGTCCCTCACACTTCAGTCCGGACACCCAAACCTACTTCCTCTGAAGGGTAACCCCTCCGGCAGGTGGTCCAATGACCTGACCAGTATCATATATGGTTTCTTTACACAAATGCCCCAAGAAGGGCATTTGAGAGAACCAAAGCAAACCCTCCAATGGCCCCAGGGGGTCATTCGTGAGCCCTCCTCACTACACGAAGGTGAAGGGCATGGTAGTTTAAACCACAAAGCCCAGTATGTCAGTCACGTTGCAACACTTGAGAAAATTAACTTGACGAGTCGGGGTTGGGTTAAGAGCCATTGCTGATTTTAAAATCATGGAAGATATGTTAACATATATTAAAATGTTGACGGGTGCAAGTCGAACCCGTCAACAGCCCCAGTGTTGTAACCCAGTAACCCCCAGTAACTGGGGCTATAAGTGTTACAGCCCCAGTTACTTACTGGGAGCTGTAACACTTACTGGGGGATTGTAACACCCTCCTACTCACGCATCTGGGTGAGTGGCGAAAATTGTTAAGGAAATTGCCTTGGGTACCAGGTTTTTAATGGCAAGAACAAGTGCCTAGAGCCAGTCATGAAAACAGATGTCTCTCAAATGCAGTTAAAAATATGAGGTATATACTATAAGGTGTACAAAGAAAGATAACGAAGCTTCTCTTAGTACGCACCGTGAAATTGGACGAGACTCGGAAAGCACAGCATCCGTAAAATTACAGATGAGAGCTTAAGATCAGAAGAAGTATAGTGTGTTATAGACAAGCTGCAGATTAATGTGAAAGTCGAAGGAGCGACTGAACACAGAGCTTATGGGTAAGGAAGCAAATAAGTAATTATCAAAAGAAGGCACCAAGCCAGGGAGACTGTAGCACCTTCTAATGCAGGATATTCATAAGGTGTTAATATCAATAAGGATGTCAATGCTAGAACAAAAGTATATAAGGCGAACGATATCAAAGGTATCTGATTCACCAAGGATACTATTCAGGGTCTAGTGACCGCGAGAGAATCGGGAAGCAAGACACACGTCGTGGAAGTCCGGACATTCAACAAAGATATGCCAGACCATAAGAGGGACAATGCAGTTTGGACAATAAGGAGCAGGGCCGTGCTCCATTAAGTGTCCGTGAGTTAAACGTGTATGGCCAATACGTAACCTAGCCAGAGCCGTTTCCCACCACCGTTACGGTGGTGGGAGGAAGGCCACAGGGACACACTACCTCACTAGGGAAGCCGGTCGACCGAGCGGACAGCACGCTGGATTTGTGATCCTGTGGTCCTGGGTTCGATCCCAGGCGCCGGCGAGAAACAATGGGCAGAGTTTGTTTCACCCTCTGCCCCTGTTACCTAGCAGTAAAATAGGTACCTGCGTGTTAGTCAGCTGTCACGGGCTGCTTCCTGGGGGTGGAGGCCTGGTCGAGGACCGGGCGCGGGGACACTAAAAAGCCCCGAAATCATCTCAAGATAACCTCAAGAAGATACCCCCCTTAAGAGCACTCAGTTTGTTTCTAGTAACGGAAGACCAACGACACTGCCAATGGGCAAGGATAGAAGAATGATTAACCGGGTAAAAGTCAGAATAAGAAACACCTTACGAGGGATGGGACAAGTGCGGATAACCTACTTAGCAGCAGCGTCCGCACGCTCATTTAAGGACACACCAATATGTCTGGGAACCCAGAACTCCAGTCATGAGTCTGCTGGAGATAAACAGCCAATACTGAATTTCGACTACCACAAGATGGACAGGATTAAAGTACTCCAGAGCCACGAGGGCACTGCGAGAATTAAGTGCAACAAAGGAAGATTGACAAGGAGAAAGCAGTTGAAGAGCAAATAAAATTGCATAAAGTTCTGCCCGTAAAGATGCTAGTCTCTGAAGGCAGGCGAGACATACAGGTGCAGTCAGGAAACACAACAGAGTAGCCTACACCGTGTGCAAACTTAGACCCATCTGTGAAAACGGCGACGGAGCGGGAGTGTGAAGAAAAAACTGTGCAAGGAAAGGGCATTTCAAAACTGTAGGAGAGAAAGATGCTTAGTCATGTGGTTATCTTGAGGTTATCTTGAGATGATATCGGGGCCTTTTAGTGTCCCCGCGGCCCGGTCCTCGACCAGGCCTCCACCCCCAGGAAGCAGCCCGTGACAGCTGACTAACACCCAGGTACCTATTTTAGTGCTAGGTAACAGGGGCATAGGGTGCAAGAAACTGTGCCCATTGTTTCTCGCCGGCGCCTGGGATCGAACCCAGGATCACAAGTCCAGCGTGCTGTCCGCTCGGCCGACCGGCTCCGTAGGTGATGTGGGGTCAAGGTTTTACAAAACTTAGAGGGATTCTCCTTGGAGGCAAGGATGGAGCGATACAGAAATAAACATTGGTAACACGAACCGAGAGAGAGAACAAGTGAGACAACCGTACAGAAAGAGGAAGGTGGTTTAAGTGAACAGGGGCCCACAGGAAGGATAATAATAAAAAACACGACACAAGCGAGCAAGGGTGTTGTAGGGACCGCGCAAGGTAACGAAGACAGCGATCACGGCGGTCTTGTTGAGACAGGATGCCAGTTTCAACATACAGGCTCACGGTGGGATTCGAACGAAAAGTACCTGAGCTGAGGCGAAACCAAGTATGGTGAAGAGCACCAAAATGCAGAGGCAGACGATTAAGCAGAACAGCCGTGATCGAGTGTTGACAGCACGAGAGAGTAATGTAGAGAGAGGAGCGTGCGCCTATCACCTACCCACGAAGTTTGGGAGGGGGGGTCAAAGGACGACCTGCTTCCAAGTAAAGGTCATAGCACAAGTCTTAGCCGGAGAGAACTTGAAGCCATGATTGGTGGTCCACGACGACACGACATCAATCGCAAGATGAAGCCGCCGTTGGAGGAAAGGGGAGTCATCACCGCGACAGCAGAGGGTAAGATCAACAGAGGTCTTCACAGCAAAGGCAGTACGAATATAGACCTCCAAGTTCACCAAGATATCAGTCGTGTTGCAACACTTGCGAAAGCGAAATTGTGAAGGTGAGAGGTGGTGACAGTGTTCCAAGAACCACATCAGACGGACATTGACCATACGCTCAAAGAGTTTGATGCAACTCATGAGAGCAATGAGGCGTAAGTCCTTAGAGATGTCCCTAGAAACCCGGGTTTCCGAATAGGAAAAACAACCACCTCGAGCTATTGTCCTCAGGAATTGACGACGACTCCCAGATACTGTTATAAATATCCAGTAATTACTGAAATGTGCTAAAGGAGATGGAGAAGTAACTCACTGAACGTCATCTGAGCTGACTGTTGAAGTACCA